TCTGAAGAATGTTGTTTGAACCAGGCAAACTTCTGAAAAAATAAAAGTGACATAATGCGTCGCAAGTTAAGTTCTTCTCAAACAAAAGGGGAGCTCTCTGTTATTACCAGGCGGGCAAAACAACTGAAGGTGAATTATTGAATATTTGTTCATGTCGTGCTGTCTTTGAAATTTTATGGTTCTCCGTATCCTTTCTTGACCAAGAATAAATAAATTTTGATACAACTCGAAATGTATATGTATTTATACATTGTGCTTATAAATATTGGAAAAGTTGAAATACCTTTGGTTTTCATCCATCCACCAGGTACAGTATACTAGTGTGTCATCTTAAGGTCACTGGAGTAAAAGGTCAGCTACACCAATGATTCTCCAATAAGTGATATTTTTGCCAGCAGCAAAGTATGAATTTAAATATTATTTCTATATTTAACTCGGTCTATATAGGGCCGGGTACCTCTCCCCCGAGATCAGATCAGAATTAGCCGAGCTAGGGAACTCAGAGATATGTCTGTTACCAGGACTCTCTTCATTGTGGCGCTCCATTGTCTCCCAATGTATTCCACAGCAGAAGGTTCGATTTGATTAATTTATTTATTTTTTGTTTCACAATTTATGCTCTATTTCCATCCCCTTTTCCTATTTATTTTTAGCTGTTTTAGGCTTTTTTATTTTGTAAAAAGATTTAGTGAAATTCGTATAATTACTGATTTTGATGTATTTTGATGAATTTTCATGAATTACTACACATATATCAGAATTTTTTTTCCCTGCAATATGATGTATGTGGAAAATATTGTGCATGCAGATTGGTATCTTTGTCATTCATGCCTGCAAGAAAACAAAATTTTAAAAGCTTAGATTTTTCCAAAAGATAAACGTTTAATTATAAAAATGGCTTTTTCAGCATTCCTTGCAGGGCGTTTTTGGGCTTGACTTTCTCAAATTGATTCTAAAGCAAATTTAACAATTAGCGTTGTCTCTCTTTTCAGACGGTTGTTGAATTTAAAAGTACTCACTTCTTTGTCAGGCAGAGCCACCTTAAATTTCTATTCGGTTCATTATATTTTAATTTAAATATCGGAATAAAAATCAATTGTTTTTCATGCAAGTGTCTCTTACAAAAAAATAAGGAAGGAATGAAAGAAAAAGATTTTGATTGGAATTATTTAATGGAATATTGAATGCTGCATTTACGAAAAATGAATAATTTATTCTTTTTTTTTTTCAAATATTTCGAGATACTTTTACCTATCTTAATTATGCCCCCGATGAGACCATGACTTGGTAAAAAGAAATATATGTACTCTTATACTGAAATCAACTATTGTTTATTTAAACAGCTTATTACCGCATATCAATCAAATTATAACTATCTAAGACTTTCTTCGACTTTTTTGTACTTGAATTATCGGTTTTCTGATTTAGCGTTTGATAATGTCTGGTTAAATGACGTAGGTGACCCGCTCTCCCGTCTGTTTGGAGATCGGAATCATCTGTCCATCTGCTCTGTCCATATAAATAAGGACCGGGTCCGGTTTATAAAATATATACGTTTGATCTTGAATCTGTCAATATGCACTTACTATTGATAACTGTGTGTCTAGGATGGAACTTGGACTTCACGACCGCTGGTGTTGGTAAGATTTATATTTTGTACACTTTTTTCTTCGGAAATTAAAACTTAAAATTATATAATTAAAGAAAAATGTTACTTTAAATAAAAGCAGATTGTGTTTGCAATAAAATTCATTTTTTTTTCTTGATTCACCAGAATCTGATTTTACTTGAAATTATAATACCTCGTGAGATTAAGTGCATTCCTCATATTATCACAATTAACGTTTCTTTTTCATTTTTTCCCTACATTTCGAAAGAATGTAAATGCTTTTGCATTTATTTTAAAGAAATATCCATAAAAATTAGAAATATTGTCATTTGTTCACAATTCCATGTTAATAAATGTCTAATTAAGTCATACAACTTCATTTCGTTAGTTATAAATGTAGCCTGCGGAGAGAGTATCACATAAATAACGGAATTCAGAAGGTCACAAGGCAAAAGATTACAACTGCGATAATTTTTTGCTATTGCAGAACTCTGCAAATACACCTTATTATAAAACGAAATAATCATGTTGTGTTTTTTTAAATTGTTTTTTTTTTTAATTTGAATATGGACAAAAGACTTAATAGCCGTAATGAATTTAAAAATGTAGAACATACATGTACCAAAGACAGAAGTTATCTTTAAATAGCAAACATTGTAATGAGACATTATGTTCTCTAACAGTTTATTGGATCGGTCGGGACTGGGGTAGCGTGGGTTACTTTAGACTCCATACGTAGAGGACTTCTACGATGACACCCGAATCTCTCAGTTTATTTAAACTTTCTTCCTTAGAGTGCCCGAAATTCGCCTATGGAATTGAGAAAACGTTTCAACTTCTGTTTAACATTGCATAAAGTTTTTTGACCTAGTCTAAGATGTTTTACGTGTTTAATGTCAGTAGGACAAAAAATTATCACGTAAATAATTATTTTCATTGTTTTTATGTCTAAAGAGGAAATGGACAATCTTTTAAAAATTTCATCACGAAAAGCATTAGTTTTAAAGAAATTCAACAAATTTCAGTAGTGTTTTATTTTTTTCACTATTTTGATAAGGCTAGTACACGTAATTCATAAAAGAAAACATTTTTTATATATAGGGAGACAATTATTGTTGAGAAAGAACGGCTTAATTGCATTGATTAATAATCTTTCGATGTAGCATTAACCATACATAATTTTCTAACCCCTCTTCCTATTTTTTTTTTAAAATTCGAGTTCTAGTTCACTTTTTCCTTTGAAATATACCCTGTTCACCTAGACAGTACTGTAGTGGACAGAGCCTAATAGTTTCCAAAGAAAACAGTTTATATTCAGTACAGTATATCGCACTTAAATTTATAGTTTTTATACTGACAGGTTTTTATTAAACTTCGATTTCTTTCTGATGCAAATCTACATATTGTTTGTAATTACGTCACACAAGGTGTCAAAACACATGTTAGTACTGGTAACACATTTTTGCGCTGATGCTCTTGTCTTGAAATTCTTAGATAAGTGTCCTTTGTTGTTTACTAATTGCCTACAATTAATATTGCTCTGTCAATTTTTCGTGATTTTTTATTTGGTGATGCGTATTCTGATATTGAAAATTAAGGTTTGTCACTCGTAAAATTTGTTTTATCAGGATTTTTTTAAGAAGTATACTTTGGATAAGTACTCATATAATATGACTAAAAATCGCAGAGAAAATAGGTGGTCAGTGTGCTTCTTGCTTAGCTGCAGTACAATTAATTTGACTTTTTTGCACTTAAATTTTAATTTTTTAAAAACACTTTAACCTTTATAATATTTTATCAGATGTTACAATGGCAATACATATTATATTCGCAAAATGGTTTGAATAATAATCAGCCTATTTTTAGCAGTTCGAGTTGCGCGGTAGACCCTTTTGTGTGACCCTTTTGCACTAAAAGAAAGAAACATTCTTGGGGTATTAAAATCTATACCGAGCGCAGCGTGGCGGCGCGCAGCGCCGCTCGCGTAGCAAGCTCAATAGATTAACGTGTACAAAGAGAGAAAATTCAGGTTGAAATCTGCACATTGATCCAAGAAATTTTTAAGAGTCCACGTGAAAACATTTTTCAATCCCATCCTTTGCAGTGCATAGCAACATGGTGGCTAAAACATAGCAACAACTTACTTTAAAAAAATTACAAACAACGATTAAATGGCTTACGCATAGCTCAAGGCTTGGTCAATCCAGTGGTTTCTATTGACTTTATTGATAAAATTTCGAACTCCTGTGCTCCATGCCACAAAACTATCGTTTGTGTTCTAAGTCAACTGGACTTTTTATTTTAAAAATAGACGTCATATTTTCGTCACTTTAACGGCTCGGGTATTTCCGATATTGTCGGAAAGTTCCGAAAAGTTCAGAATCTCGATCCCGATGCCTGGGAAGTGATGAACTGAGGATAGGCAGTGCAAGTAAAAGTGTAAAGGTTTTTGATAGTTTTAAAAATAACTGCGCTCGCCCGAACGGTCACATCGTAGAACATATTATAATTTTATGTAATTAAATATTTTCTTGAATCAAACTTTGACTTCTTAAGTATATATCTTCAATTCTCCCCAAAGTTTGTTGAGGGAAGGTGTACTGTGACAATTTGTTCCTTTGTTCGTAATCCATATAATGAGACCAATATAAAATATTCCTAGCATACATGTATCATAACAGAAAATATTCTCCGAGTAAAAGTATATGAGGCTAATATTCTAAGATATAAAATTTGATAAATGCAGAATTATCTTCTTAATATCCTTCCACCACAAGAAATAGTCCCTCATAAATTTTGTTTCCTTGAGCGTTTTTGAGCAGATTTTCATTGAACGTTGAGTGATTTATATTGTTTAAATTAAATATGTTAAAAAATTTGAATTATAATGAATAATTTTGAAGTATTATTTTTTTTATGTGAAATTTTCTAAAGAGCTGACGAGCTCGAGTGAAGTACATTAAGTGCATTGTTAAATTAATGTTCGATTGTTCTTATATAATTAGCCTGAACTTATTAATATAAAGAACTGTGTACTGTTTTTAGTTTTGTTATATATATTTAAATGATTTGCCTGCTCTTACTCTTTCATGCTTTGTGGAAATTTTAATTTGAAGTGGTATACGTGACTATTTAGACAAATTAGCATAGTGTTCTTATAATTCAAGCCCACAAACCTAAATGTCTGATTTTCAAATTCAGCATTTTTAGACCTTCTCAGCCTCTCGTTGGGTTATATGTCATCTATTTGGAGAAAGCTTATCTGTCAGCATACGTTTACTGCGAATCGTAACGTCACAATTTTTGGTGTTTAGTTTTTAGCGTTTTAGGCTGCGTTATACACGCTACTGAGGTTACAGGATTATTTTTGGGGATAACTTTCAGCTCCATAATGCAGTTGTGTACAGGTTTCTACCAGTGTCTAGACTTAGTTTTTATTGTGTCGTGTTTATCAGTTATCGTCAATGCAGGCGGTCTTCATCTTCATCACTACCACCATGGTAAGAAATCCACTTCTACCCCCCCCCCCCCCCATCCCCTCATTCAAACTTCGATCGATGATTTTTTCTAAACCAGGATTGATTTTTTTCCTGTAAATGCACGGTTGTTTAAAAGCTGAATTGGCAGTTTGGAATTTAAGGCATGTTGTCCTCTGATATCAAAATGTATTTCTTTTATTCTTCTTATTTTAACATTTTTATGAAAAACATTTTAACAATACTCTAAAAAACAATCGGATCATATCGAATTTAATATTAAGAACCATTTATTTTGTGTTGAAATGGGAAAATCTATTTATAAATGAAGAAAAACAAGGTAAACTACATTGAATTAAGGGATTTAAGACATCTGTGATAAAGCTTTTGAACGTCGCATCGGCTTTTTAAGTCCGGAAAGGCATAAAAAAGAAACAGAAATAGTTTTTATACACAAAAATATTTAATTTGAGGTGGGATGGGATCGCTGCTTTTTGAAAAGCTGGGGTGTACAATGGTGTGTGAATGTTCTACCATGTTATACAGGAAGGGGGGACCTAAGTATGAAAATTGTCAAACATTATTAAAAAACTCTCCATCAACCACTCACACACATGCGCACTGATCCATATGTACTACATTCGGGTAGTCCCGTCCAACCCCTTAAAACAAAAATAAAATAAAAAAAAACTGATGGCTCCGTAAAGCAACATATAGAAGGTTAAATTTTCTCAAATGCAAATCAAACAGGTTGAGACCCAGAGTAATAATCTGAGAAATATGTCAGCCATAGTCCCACCCGGTCAAAATCATGGCCAAGGTTAAAGTTTTTACAGACAAACTGACCAACAGACAGACGGACAGGGCAAAAACTATATACCTCCCAAAAATTTGTTGACGGGGGCATAAAATAACACAAAGCAAGAAACGGGATATCCCTGGAACTCTTTCTAACTCGTTGAATACTTTAACAATGGGACTAACATGTATACAGAAACCTAGAGGTTCTCTGGGGATGTTAAATATAATAAATCTCTGGATGTATGCTTAGAGACAGAAATAACAGCCGTGTACTTAGATGGCCCGAATCACGGCCTGACGTCTGGGAGATAATTTTACAGTTTTATACCTGTTTGACAGACAGACAAGAATTTGAATAACTCAATTTTGTGGTTATTAAAAATAATCAAGGTCTCTAAAAAAACGTGTATTTTTCGACACGGGGAAATAGACTCGGTGATTTATAGACTGAGTTATCAAAGATTAAAATATTTATGTCTGTTCAATTTAAAAGAATTTTAACTTTCTTTCAGGAAACGATTGGAGTTATGAGGGAGATCATGGTGAGTAGGGGGGATAAAAGGAGAGAGAGAGAGAGAGAGAGAGAGAGAGAGAGAGAGAGAGAGAGAGAGAGAGAGAGAGAGAGAGAGAGAGAGAGAGAGAGAGAGAGAGAGAGAGAGAGAGAGAGAGAGAGGAGAGGAGAGAGAGAGAGAGAGAGAGAGAGGGGGGAGGGGAGAGAGAGAGAGAGAGAGTTATATGAAATACAGAAAACACATGATTATTAAAGTAATTTTACATACAAGTAGGTAATACCCACATTTATTTCACTAGCACCTTCAATGATCATTGAAAATCTTTCCTTCCTTTTCTGAATGTTGAATTGAAATATTAATAAGTTTTACTCAAATTTGGAAAATATATTTCATAAAAAGTATCATAAATGTTTTAATTTGGAGGCGGTATTAATTAGATTTTGTACGAATCTCAGAGGTATATAACTAAAATTTCTCATGACTTTCATTAACTTTCATTAACTTCTAAACTGATCTGAACTGAAGTCGACAGTCACATGCTTTACTAGACAGAAAAAAAAATCTATCATCAAGATAAATTACATGGTGGCAGATGAAGCCTCTTAAAGGTCACATGAAAAGTACAATTCTCTGACACATTCTTGTTCTCACCTGCCAGGGCCGAGTCATTGGCACTCCGTGTTCCCCACCTGTGGGGGTGACAGTCAGTCCCCCGTCCACATCGAGACCCACAAGGTGTTCGTGGACCGGAAGCTGACCCCGTTTGAGATGGAAGGTTACGACCAGGTCCAGAACGTCAACATGAGTCTGACAAACAACGGACATACAGGTTAGATTGATAGTCGATTGTTAGATCACTTGATACTTGTATCATAATAAATAACATAAATAATGCTAAAATATTGTACTTTGCATTTTATAACCTATGCCCTATACAGAAATGTTATGTTTTGTATTCAACATGTTCAATTAAAGTAGATTTCAGATTTTTAAAAAAAAGAAAAGATTATTACATTTTATAAACTTATGTTTTTGTATACAGTTAAGGTGGACCTGTTGGGCGCCCAGCCCGTGTTACGCGGTGGTGGACTGTCAGATGACTTTAAGGTGGATCAGTTCCACTTCCACTGGGGAGCGGCAGACGACAGGGGATCAGAGCATGCGCTAGATAACCAACGTTATCCAATAGAGGTACATGTACAAAAATAAAAATACACAAATAGATTTAAAATGATGAATTAAAGATATAAAAACTTTAAAAAGAAAGATAATCATTTAAAAAACCAGAAATATTTCTTACGTAATAAGCATTCAGCGAAATATAAAATAGTTTTAATAATTTAGGAATTTAACCAGGAAAAATAATTGACATGATAAAAGAAAAAGAAAAGACTGATTAATATTTGCATTTAGGGAGTTTCATTGTACTCATAAAACTTAAACATGTAAAGTTATTAAACTAAGACGAAGTTAGTCAAAGGATACTATTATAGCTCATGTATTTCTTACTTTTCTAATTGCCCCTTTCATTTTTTTTTAATTAAGTAGCATCAAGTGCCTGTGCCCCTTTCTAAAACAATTTTATGCGGAAATTAAACGACTATCTTATCTGCAAGTGCACCAAAATGTAGAAATTGATAAACTCATTAAACTGTTGATTCTTCTCCATTGTAGATGCACATTGTCCACCATTCTATAAACTATGACGATCTCTCTCAGGCCATGGACAAAGCCAACGGACTCAAAGTTCTGGGATTCTTTTTTGAGGTAAAATCTACAAGGCACACACTCAGTGGTAATAAATACCAAATTATCGTTATATATCCAGCTTACTATGTTTAACATCAGTATGGGTAGTTTTGGATAGGTCTGCATTTAGCAAGATTTACTTCCCGTAGGCCCTTGCTTTGTATTGAGGTCCAACAAGCAAATTTTCCTCTTTCAGCGACCGATTTCAAAATTGAATATCAGGAATAAAAGTGCAAATCCTTTTAAATCTTGCATTTGAAGTTAACATCTCACAGTTGAATCGTTTTTCAAAATATCTACAGCGAGACAAGCTATTGACGAACACATTAATGAAACAAGAATACCAATAATCATTTCCAAGTCAAAATTTTGCAAGTTCGGTTCACCTGGACTAAACTATTGGAACATGGTCAATACAATGACATAGCTTTTCATCAGATACAATCACTTCTGACTTTCATAAGTTTCTCAACTGTTTGGCCATAATTCACCTGTCTACAGAGATAGGTGTTTGATTTGCTCCCGATTTGTATGATGAAATTGTTTGCTGTGCGTTATTCGCATAATTTATCATTCTTTAACAATATATCAATACTTTCAACAATAATTTTTTAAATTTACTAAAACATATCAAGTTATAACAACCTGCTAAATTCTTATTAAAACATCACAAAAAGCTCCATCGTCGGAAACCCACGGTCTGTCTGGCTTCTCCGAGTCCCTTTTTTTTTTTACATATGGTGAGACTTTTATTGCTTATTTTACATGTTTTATTAAAAAAAAAACAATGCCAAAAAAGAAAAAAAAAAACTGATTCAGATTAATTGATTGATTTACAGATCGGGGAGGAGAATGCACAGTTCGAGAAAATTATCTCTCATTTCAAAGATATCGCCCATAAAGGTAGGTCTACTAGTATATAATCTAAGACATATATGCAGCAGATACCTTTATAATTGATAACAGGTCAATGCATGAATTATTTCCAACAAGCAAATAATTTCTTTCTGTCCAGAAATGATATATAGTGTGTAATATTTTCATAGTTTAATATGAAGAATCTTATTTTTTATACGTTACATAATGCCTATTTTTAGACGACCACGTGGAGATCTCTGCTATCCCCCTTCGCTCACTCCTGCCCTCTGACCTCAGTACGTACTACCGGTACCTGGGCAGCCTGACCACGCCCCCTTGTTATGAGACCGTCATCTGGACATTGTTTAAGGAGACGATCAAAGTGTCAAGGAGACAGGTACATGGGTTTATCTTCACAAAACTTAATTATCAGGGTCTCAAGGGGACATGTCTGAGAATTCATTGAAACATCTCCATGAATTTACAATTATCAGTGTCATCACGGAGTGAATGATAGGACTGCCATATATTGATAAATTGTCAACTGTGGTTTTACAAAAATTAAATTTCAATATTCAACATACATGAACATTTGTACTTGAAACGTTTTCCGTATCTGACAATTTGTTATTTTTGTGCTGAGCATGATAAAAACCTAAATATAGCTCCAAAATCCTAACTTGTAAAAAAATAATATTTCTGAAATATTGCTTGAAAAAATCCATACCAACAGTTATTAAATAATATGTCTTTAAAATTGCAGCTTGAAATTTTCCGCCATGAAGTGAAACAAAACTATCCCACAGAACCGGATAAAGAATTAACGGACGACTTCCGGCCTATCCAGCCTCTAAATCGTAGAATAATCTACACCAGTAACATTAATGGAATAAGACAAAAACCTCAGAGTATTGATTCACAGAATTCTTCATCTGTGGCCAAGTTCTCTTTAATTAATTTTCTTACTATTTTATTTTTTATGTGTTTCATATAATATGTTGTCGATAATTTATATTTTTTACTAGATAATAGCCTCTTTTTTTTTTAGAAGAGAACACTCATTTTTTTCTTTTTTTTATTTGAGAAACGTCATCTCTTTTCTTCAACAAAATAACTTTATGCATGTTATGACACACATTTCTTTTCTTTATATGGTACCATCATTGTATGTTGAATCATTTTATTAATGACTTTTATGTCAAAGCAATCAATTATCAATACATGGCTTGACATTCATATGTCAAATTCAATCCTTCGTCCCAACTGTGATACCCATATATTTCTTTAATTTTTTTTAATTCTTTTCTTATTTTCTTTTCTGGAATCTTTGTCTTCTGGAAGTACATGTATAACATGTTCATATTTTCCTTTACATGAGAATAAATGAATCATAACTAGTAGATGAATCTGTTAATCTTAAGAAAGACTTTGTGCATTCAAGTGTTGATTTTAATCTGAATGAAATAAAATTATGATGATAAAATATATTGCAATGTTTTCTTGTTTCTAAACATTAACTGTGTGTTTTTAAGGATACAAGTAGGCTTATATAGCCCCAGACGTTTGTTTACTACTGTTCAGTTAGAAAGCAAACACGTCAATTGAAACAGTGCGAATACATTGTAGGGAGGAGAACAAACAAGAACGTGTTAGAATAGGATAGGACGGATAGGTGCATGAAGTGGTAAGCATCCGCTGCCAACCGGTTACCTCCACCGTGTGGTACTTGTCACGATCGGGTAAACAAAACAAGAAGCCCACGGGCCTTATAGGTCACCTGAGTATTGTGCAACAACTTTCAAACAATTAAATTTATTATCAAAGAATAAATGTATTTTCGCTATATAATCAATAGAGCACTGCCCTAACACCAGAACCCCTGACCCTCACTGCATGAAAAGTCGGGTTTAATTTTACCTTAAATGTGATTTAAATGCTGCGATTATTTAATGTTTAAATGAATATTATAAAATATTGTGGGATCGTAAATGTCAGAAAATAATAAGCATTTAATACGAGTTTAATGAAAAATTAAAAGAACAAATTTAATAAAGTTTGGAAAATTGTAAACTTACTAATACGTTCGGATTTTAGACTGCCGTAAACAATTATTATATCTCTAATATACAAAACGTATAATTATTATTAAACATGGCCATAAAATTACGTTTAATGGTCACATTAAATTTGTTCGTTTAATAAAATTTAACGTAGATCTTTACCTCATTATCTTTTGTTAAATTCACACTTTACTTTATAATACTTCCAAAAATAAACTTATATACGGAGAATTGTAAACTTACTAATACGTGCAAATTTTATTCTTTCATAAACTAATATCAAATCTCTTGTATTTGTGATGAAAATGTACGGATTAAACCTTCCCATATAATTAAGATTTAAGGTTGTATTTGATGAAATTTAACATTATTATATTATTGCATAATATTTTTATTTTACATTTATTCCATCAATAATTTGTATGGTTCACAATTGTGGGTTTTTGGCAAGTATTTTACAATCTTACACAAATCCATTTCTCATTCAATTTTATTAGATGTTATCTCAATAATGTACAAACAATGAGTTCTAACAAAGTACAAAATGTTTCAAATTTAAGCCTAAAAGTCAGAATTAAAAAAATTACAAATCATGATCATAGCTCAATTATAATGGAGTAAATTTCTACATACTAGAAGTAAGTAATATACTGAAGTAATTATAAATAATATAAGAATATTATTGTATGTAAAATTCAAATCCGCAATAAATCAAAACACAACAGGTAAAAGATGTAGTCATTCTGGACTCCAAAAGACTGCAAAATCTGACTGAAACTGCCCCTATCAAAACTTCTGCATGGGTTGTAAATGGCTTTTCAATTTCTCACAATAAATTATATCATACTTTGCATAAAAAGAATAAAGGTTGCCAATAAAAGTTGTCCATTCTTTTTACATGTACATTTTAATAAGACACACTAAGCCACTAACAGAGAAGCCTCACTCGCCCACAAGCAACAGCAAAAGGATCGGTCAGAGACACCACCTTTCTCTTGCTTGGGTATCAAGATCTGCAACTTACTGCCAGCAAAGCTCTTTTAGACCACCCTTAGATGTCCATGCACTAATTATCCAAGTTTAACTTGAAAAATACTTAATGTTGACTGTGAAAAATACAAAAAATCCTTTATATCATTTGGTTACATGTATGTCAATTTAAACTAGTGCTAATTGTAACGGGAACCGTTACAGATGTTCCCCAAACGCTCCCCAACTTCCTTTTGGTGCCATATCCTCTGTAAGCTTCATTAAATAAGACAAACACTGTGCACTTTTGACTTTAACAACGTTTCCCCAGAAGGATACCAATTACATTCAAATTTTAACATTGCACCCGTGCACATGTGAATGCATGTGCGTTATGACCATATCATATTGTCTACACTATCTATATATTTTGATACACTATAATATGAAAGCATTCAGTCCAAAAGTATTAAAAATCACTCATTCGAGTGTATTATTAACTTCACTCGTTCTAAATGCACGCACGTGCGTGCACGTGCATGTTGACCATACCTTCTAGTAGGAGTCCATTATACCTATCTGTATTCTAAATCCCATCCTGTTTGTTTGAAAAATAAGGGAGTTATAGCCATTTCAAGTTTCAGCCAATCAGATTGCAGCAAACGTACATGCGCGTGATTTCATGATTTTTTTCTATATCGTATTGTAGGACATCCTAATGAAAGACTATGTTTTAATTTCAAAACATTTTGTCAAAAAACAAAGGAGATATAGCCATTTAAAGTTTCAGCCAATCAGATTGCAGCAAACGTGCATGCACGTGATTTCTTGAATTTTTTTGTATATCATATTGCAGGATATTCTAATGAAAGACTATGTTTTAAATTTCAAAGCATTTCTTCAAAAAACAAAGGAGATAAAGCCATTTAAAGTTTCAGCCAATCAGATTAAAGCGTATGCGCATGCAGGTGATTTCATGAAACTTTTATATATCATGTTGTAGGATATCCTAATGTATGACTATATTTTGAATTTCAAAGCATTTCGTCAAAAAACAAAAGAGATATTGAGATTTTTGTTTCAGCCAATCAGAGCGAAGCGCACGAGCATGCGCGTGAGTTCGTGCTAATTTGACAGTGTCATATTATCTACACTATTAATATATCTTTAAATAATGAGTTTCAAAACATTTGTTCAAAAAACATAAAAGTTATAGCTATATTAAGTATATCAGTCAATTAACTCATTTCACGCGCACGCACGTGCATGCGTATGCGGGCAAAATGACCTTCGTTCCGCACACCTACACTACACACCTATTAACCCTAAAAAGGTTTTAGCTCAGTTGGGTGAACAGTTTCTGAGAACACTCGCGGACAAAAAAGTACCGGAGAACAAATAAGAAAAAAAATAATAACTAGGAGACTTATTGTTCACAGAACAATAAGAGGTCTTTCCACCTTTTCAAATTTCTTATAGTTTTATCATGTTAATATTTTACTCTCTAAATTTAATTGTAAGGGAAATGGCTTGAAAAAAAGTGAAAATTAAAAAAAAAAAATTTTTTTTTGAAATGACCTTGACCTTTGACCTTGAAAAATTTTTCAAGGTCAAGGGTCAAGGTCACATTGCAATTAACCCCATGCTTCTACCATTTATAGTTTTCAAGATATAAGGTTTAATAGTAAGTATGAAGAAGTTAAAGGGCAATAACTCATATAAGGGGTCATCAGATTCTTTTGCACTTATACAGTGACGTTAGGACTAAAGACCCTTAAGACATTAGTGAAGGTTTGGTGTCTCTAGGGTCTACAGTTTCGGAGGAGTAGCGATAACAAGGTTTTTTGCACAAGGGGCAATAACTTTTAAAAGTTTTAATCTTAGGGGACAAGAATGAAATCTTTGAAACAGTTTTAAGAGTACATATTAATGATGCATAGACACTAAATATATGTTGAAAGACAAAAGAGATACAAAAATAGCTAATTTTCTCTTTTTTGGAATGACCTTGACCTTTGACCTTTACATGAATTTTAAGGTCAAAGGTCAATAAATCTTATGCAGTTGGTCTCATGTCTCTACCACTTCTGGTTTTGAAAATTTTTAATTATTTGTAAAATTCAAAAAGTTTCAGGGGCAATAACTTTTTGAAGGGGTCAATGAATACTTTCGCAATAAATCATTGGAGTGTCTACTAAATTAGTTGAAGACAATAGTGAAGGTTTCATTTCTCTACGGTTTATGGTTTCTGAGGAGTAGCGATAACAAGCTTTCTTGCGAAAGGGGTAATAACTCCGAAAGGGATCAAAGTTCATTTACGCAGGGTCAACTGCGAAAATCTTTTATGAAGTACATTCTTATGGATTAAAAATCTTTTCGATAAATCTTGAAACTTAAAATCACACGGCGGAAAAATAATAAAAAACTAGGACACTTATTGTTCATAGAACAATAAGAGGTCTTTCCACCTTTTTAAATTTCTTATAGTTTTATATTTTACACTCTAAATTTAATTTTAAGGGAAATGGCTTGAAAAAAAAATGAAAATGTAAAAAAAAAAAAAATTTTTTTGAAATGACCTTGACCTTTGACCTTGAAAAAATTTTCAAGGTAAAAGGTCAAGGGACACATTGCAATTAACCCCATGCTTCTACCATTTATAGTTTTCAAGATATAAGGTTTAATAGTAAGTATAAAGAAGTTAAAGGGCAATAACTCATATAAGGGGTCATTAGATCCTTTAGTACTTATGCAATGAAGGTGTGCCTAAAGACCCTTAAGACATAAGTGAAGGTTTCATGCCTCTACGGTCTACAGTTTTGAAGTAGTAGTGATAACAATGTTTTTCGCATAAGGGGCAATAACTTTTGATAGAGTCTATCTTGGGGAACAAGAATGAAATCTTTGAAATAGTTTTAAGTGTACATATTAATGATGCAAAGACTGATTGCATATGTTAAAAGACAAAGGATATATAAAAAGAGCTTAATTTCTCTTTTTTGCAATGACCTTGACCTTTGACCTTGACAAAATATTCAAGGTCAAAGGTCATGAGTCTCAATGCAGTTGGCCCCATGCTTCTACCATTTTTAGTTTTCAAGATACAAGGTTTAATAGTAAGTATAAAGAAGTTAAAGGGCAATAACTCATACAAGGGGTCATCAGATTCTTTTGCACCTATACAGTGAAGTTAGGTCTAAAGACCCTTAAGACATTAGTGAAGGTTTGGTGTCTCTACGGTCTAAAGTTTTGGAGGAGTAGCGATAACAAGGTTTTTCGCACAAGGGGCAATAACTTTTAAATGGGTTCATGTTAGGGGACAAGAATAAAATCTTTGAAACAATTTTAAAAGTACATATTAATGATGCATAGACATTAAGTATATGTTAAAAGACAAAAGAGATATAAAAAGAGCTAAATTTCTCAGTTTTGGAATGACCTTGACCTTTGACCTTTCCATAAATTTCGAGACCAAAGGTCAATGAATCTTATGCATTTGGTCCCATGTCTCTAT